TTTTTTTTTTTTGCGGGTCTGAGTAGGGTTTGAGGGGTAGAGGGAGAGAAGTAGGAGGAATGGCGTTGAAGGGAGGGCAGTGAGTAACAAGTGAAAATTGTGGGATGTGATGTATCAAAAGTTTGTGAAAAAAAGGTCAAAATTTCAAAAGTCCAGAGTGGATAGGAAGACGAACATTGGTGGTTGGAAATTGTTGGTTATGCACGCTTTTGTTGTTGGTGTCTGAGTTGAAAGAGCAAAAGGAAAAAAGGAGCAAGTTTTAAAATATTATGGTGTGGACAAGAATAAAAGAAAAGAAATTAATGTTTTGGTAATATATTTTAGAGGAGTGATGATGCGGTTGCTGGTGCTGATGATGATGATAATGCTGATGATGTTGTTGGTGTTGTTGACGAGGATGATGATGGTGATGATGACAGATCAATAAAGTCGACGTTGTCATGTTTGGTGTTAGCACATGTGATAGCTTTGATTATTTGACAATTTGGTTTTTTGTTTGATCAAATTTTTTGGCAGACATGTGCCGACAAAAAACAGGAGTGTATTTTCGTTTTAGAAGGGCAAGTGTATATGCGAAAGGAAGCGAGGCGAAGGAAGGATGAGGATAGATAGTAGCCAGGAGGAGGGGATGGCGGGAAGGGAAGAGGAAGAAGAGAGGCATCATTCTTGTAATAAAGGGCTTTGGTTTTTGCTTGAGGATAATTTTTTCTTGCTTGCCTTTTGCTGCATATTTATCTTGGCTTATGCTCTTTTTCTGACAAAAAAAAAAGTGAAAAAGTCTTTTATGAATCTTATATTACGCTTCATTTAAGCTATATTTATCGGATCCTGCTGCTATTCAGTAACCATTGTTCAGTAACCATTGCTTGAAAAGGAGGGACAAGCCACGGAGATACACACATTTGGTGGTGATGAGGAGAGGATGGAAAAGGAGGAGGAGGAGAAGATGTGGAAAGGGATGAAATAAAACGCTGAAGGGTTTTCAGCCTTTCATATTTTCGAAAACGTAGGCAACGTTGAAATTGGTCAGTAATTTTACCTCGAACCTATTGTTTATTGAAAGTGTGAAAAAAAAGAGAATTTGTTCCATCATTTTTAGCTGCCTAAACAAATTTTTTTTTTTAAGATCTATTGGAGTGGAGGAAAGTATTGATAGTTTAGTGATGAGTTCTGTGGTCATGAAGTTGTTGCCGCTGTTGTTCTTTTGCTCTTCTTGTTGCTGCTATTTTTTTGTCATTTTACTAGTTGGATGTGGCCATAGCTTAGCAAGTTCTATCACATCGACAATCAGTGTAATTTGAGTTCAATGAGTAGGAGAAAATAGAAGATAATTTGTTGAATTTGTGATGCAACACTTTGTTTTAAAAATTTTTTAAAGTTAAAAAATTGTTTTTTTCCGAATTTTTTAAAGTAAAAATTGGGAGTAAAATTAGTGGAAAGCAGAAATTAAGAGTTTGGATTTATTACTGTCGGTTCTGTGCGGGTTGAGATATATCAGAAATCATCGTTGGTTACATAACTTTTTTGTTTTGTTTCTTTTTGTTCTGGTTCATTTTGATTTTTCCATAACGTTCATTTATATTCATAGAGACATCATTCTTGTTTCTCTCGTTTCCTATCAGTGTTGTTATTGTCAAATTTTTTTTGTTACTATGCTTGTTGTAGTCACTATGCTTCTCGGGAAAGGCAAAAAAAAAAAGAGAAAAAGAAAGAGCGAGATTTAAAGCTTTTACTGCTGATAAGGTAATATTTGATTTCAAAGTCAAAAAAGGGGAACCAATGATAGGCAGAAGGGAAGAAGTAACAAATTTAATTGATTCTTCATTATAAGAGATGTTGTAGAAGTGGAATACTGATCGTCACAAGAAAAAAATAAGTTCCTCTATTTTTCCCTTTGTAGTTGGTTGAAGCCATTTTTTAGAAGAGGAAAGAAAAAATGATAATAATACTTCGATGCAAAAAAAATGAAAATAAATAAATTTTCACTTTGACACATCAAGAAATGTATCTAGTAGCTTGTTAAGAGTGAGTGTTGCGTTAAAAGCTTAGTGTCTATATGTTTGTCAGTATTTCTATCTTTATTTCTATTTTTATTTTTTTTGTCTGATTCTGTGTTTGGATGAAGGGCTGAAACTATAGGCTGTCGACGTCAGTAAGTTGAGTTTTTCAAGCGAAAAAAATATGCAATTTTTTAATCCGAAATATTGGGTCGTTCATGTACGTAATTTGCTAACCTTATTGTTGTGGTTATTAAAGAACAACCCGTCTTAATTTTGTACATGTGTATACGCATAAATATATATGTATGTATAATACGTTATATAGTACATACAATACGCTATATATAATATATAATCTATAATGCGTTATCTATTATATATTATATTTTACTTGTTTATATATTATATATATTATATGTAATATATATACTATATATTATGTTTTATATTATATATATGTGATATATAATATGAAAGGGAGTATCCATGTCCATATATTTCGCTAGTGTTGCCACTGTGTCGTCTGTTCGTTTTCGTATATCTATGTATCTGGTGAGCCGAAGGAGAAGAAACATGGACATTAACGAGAAACCACGTTGGTAATTTCATTTGTTAAGTTCCCGTACTGATCACTTCCTTTTTTCTGTTTCTTGTCTTTTTTTTCGTCGTCTTCGTGTTCGTTATTGTCTTTTGATGTCGAT